GATTGGAGTCTTCTCAGGGTGGGGGGAGAGGAGGTTGGCACTGGGGTTTGTGAAAGTAGAGGGTGGGATCTAACTGGCGATCTCACTAAGGTTGGGGCCTCAGTGCTCTCAGCCTATGCTCCCATGCTGCATGACCTTGATCACATGGCTAGCCTTGTCTGATCCAGTCCCTTAGCAGTGAGGGGTGAGATGTGTCAGTCTGGCTAATATGAGCACTTCCTTCCAGTCCTCTGTGAAGCTGCGGCTGTTGTGTAGCCAGGTGCTGAAGGAGCTTCTGGGACAGGGGATTGATGTAAGTACAGCCCAGGATCCCATTGTCACATGACCTTATGACCCCCAGGGAGGTGGGTGATCCAGCCTCCCAGCCTTTCTGGACACCCTCTTCCTTTTCTTCAGCCCCAGCCTGTTCCTCACACAGGATGCAGGATGGGGGTGGGGGCTGCCGAGCAGGGCTCTGGCACCCCCCTGAGGGCCTCCTTTCCCCATAGTATGAAAAGATCCTGAAGCTCACTGCTGATGCTAAGTTTGGTGAGTAGCCACTGTGTCCACAGGCCCTGGGTGGTCCTGGGAACTCAACCTGGTGCTGGCATGGAGGACCCCTCCTCTAGCAGCCTCCCTAGCTCAGCTGCCTTAGTGGAGTAGCATGAGGAGAAGAAACTTCAGTGATCCTGCCCCCATCCTCTGCCGGCTTCTGGTGGGGCAGTAGCAGTGCCTATGGCTCAAGGAAGCCTCGGGCTCTGAGCTGAAGATGAAAGGGCAACAGGAAGGTGGCTGGAGCCACAGTGACACCCTGCCCCACTCATGGGTCTGCAGAGTCAGGTGATGTGAAAGCCACAGTCGCCGTGTTGAGTTTCATCCTCTCCAGTGCAGCCAAGCATAGTGTGGATGGCGAGTCCTTGTCCAGTGAACTGCAGCAGCTGGGGCTGCCCAAAGGTACAGGATGGGGATGGGCAGGTGGTTAGCCTGTGGGCAAGGGCTGCTAAAGAGCAGGCCAGGCTATGTGACCCTGGGGTGTGCCTGCCCATTCTGGGCTTGGAGCCCGAAACCTGCCCTCTGGGTGGTCCCATCCATAGCCCCACCTGCCACCTCAGCCAACTGCCATCTGCCCCTAGAGCATGCAGCCAGCCTGTGCCGCTGTTACGAGGAGAAGCAGAGTCCTTTGCAGGAGCACCTACGGGCCTGTAGCTTGCGTGGTGAGTATGGGGCCCAGCAGGGTAGGTGCCAGGCTCCACTCTGGAAGGTGCATGCAGTGTGCTGAGTGCCAGTTCTGAGGCCTCAGCACATGGAGCAGGTACAGAGCTGGGACCTGGCCCTAGATCTCTAGACTGCAGTCTAGAAGTTTTTATTTTCTTTGAGGCTTGTGGTGAATATTTGAATTCTTAATGACTGAGTACCTGCCCTGTACCAAGCCTGGGTCAAAGGGCAAGAGCTTGAGAGACCACACAGCCTTGAGGTATTACAGGCCAAACCAGGATGTGGACCGCAGGCTGCCTGGCTCGCCTGCCTGAGAGATGCCCTACCCTGTTTCACAGTGAACAGGCTGGCAGGAGTGGGCTGGAGGGTGGACTATACTCTCAGCTCCAGCCTGCTGCGCTCTGTGGAAGAGCCCATGGTGCACCTGCGACTGGAGGTGGCACCTGCCCCAGGTGCCTCAGCTCAGCCTGTGGTCATGTCCCTCTCAGCAGACAAGTTCCAGGTTCTCCTGGCAGGTGAGGTTCAGCTGCCCCTGGAGGGGGGAGGGGGGAGGGACCCTCCCAGGGACCCTCCCAAACCTCATTTGACTGCTTCCCTCCTGTCCATTTCTTGCCCCTGCAGAACTGAAGCAGGCCCAGAGCCTGATGAGCTCCTTGGGCTGAGAAGGGTGCTCCTGACCTGTGCAGAGCTGCCCTTTGTGTGTCGAGTTGCTGCCTTCTAAAACTCTTCTGGGCCTGGCCCCAGTTCTAGGATGCTGGGGGTCCCTGGCCTGGTCTCCTGGCTTCCCCCTTGAGACTTCAGCATTGGGCTTCTGAGGAACTGCTCTAGCATTTCCTCTCCTTGAAAGGCACTTTCAGGTGCTTTTGTGAGCAGGAAAAATAAACAGGAATGTAAAGGAGTGTATGTGAGGTTTTTTTTTTTTTTTTTCCTCCTTCTTCTTCTTTTTTCTTTTTTCTAATTAAGGGTTTTTGTGAAAGAAACCAAGTGACATTCTGACCTGGCCCATCACTCGTTTTCTCATTGCTGACTGAAGCCCCAAATGAACAGTGTGTCCATAGATAGGAGTGTCTGTAGATAGGGTGCTGGCTCCTAGACTTGTGATGCTCTTGGCTCTGTCGTCTCTGCATTGGTCTTGTCCTCAGGTTGGTAGCAAGTGAGTGGCCCAGATGCCAAATGCCCTGTGTCTGCCCTCTTCTATAGAAAGAGAGAAGAACCCAGGCCTGAACCATTCAGTGGCAATAGGAAGGTTGTTACAGACTGAGTGGTGATGTCCCTACAGTTTGAATGTGGAAGCCATGCTCTCCATGTGTGTGCGCTGAGAAGGGCTCTGTGAGCGCAGGGAAGAAGGTGGCTGTCCACAAGGCAGGAAACAGGCTCTCATTGGGAAATGAATCTGCTAGCACCTTGATCACGGACGGACTTCCCAGCCTCCAGAACTGTGAGAAATAAATTTAAACTACCCAGTTGCTGGACTTCCGTTCTAGCAGCTAGAGCTAAGTCGTCTGGTCTCAGGATTGGCTTAGGCTAACCAGAGCTCCTTTTGGAAAGACTGATGCCAGGGTGGGGCAGGGAGAGTCCAAGAAGAAGATCTCTAGAACTCTACTCATCTTACATAACTGAAACTATATACCTATTGAATAGCAACTTCCCCTCTTCTGTGCCCTCATTCTGATAACCCATCATTCTCCTTTCTGCTTTAATCTTTGTTGTTTAGACACCTCAAATAGACATGCAGTATTAGTTCTCTGTGACTAACTCATATCACTTAGCATAATGTCCTGAAGGTTATCTATGTTGTTGTCTATGGCAGGATTCCCTTTTTTAAAGTTGGGATACTACTCCACTGTGTGTATATGCCACATTTTTTAAAAATCAGTTTATCTGCAGATGGACCTTTAGGTTGTTTCCATGTCTTATCTATTGAGAGTCATTCTGTGATGTATATTATATCCTGATTGTGGCTATAGTTGCACAACTGTATGCATTTGTCAAAACTCACACTGAAAAGGGAATTGTAGTGTATATAAATTACATCTTAATTGAAACAAATGAGAGAACAAAAAATCAAAGCACACCATAGGTTGCTTTAGTGATCACAAGGTATGAAACACTTTTCATAATGCTGAAGTCTAGCTGGGTGTGGTGGCACACCACAAGTTGCCTGTAATCCCAGCAACTTGGGAGGATTGTGAATTCAAAGCCAGCCTCTGCAATTTAGTGAAGCCCTAAGTAACTCAGACCCTGTTTGTTTGTTTGTTTATTTATTTATATATATATATATATATATATATATGAATGGAGCTGGAGATGTGGTTCAGTGGTTAAGCACCCCTGGGTTCAATTCCTGGTACCAAACAACAACCAAGAAATGCGGAAGTCTGACTGTCACAGCCTCCCCCATGATCAATTTGATCCTCACTAAAGTGGCATAACCCAGTATTTTGTACATCCTGATGTGATGCAATTTGGAGTATACAGCAGCACCTAAGAGGTAACCCTGAATGTGTATGATCCAGCATTGAGCCTTCATTCCATCATGCAGAAAAAACTCCAGATAGTGGAACAAGTTAATGACACTCTGAGAAACATTCAGAGAAATCCTGAATGAATGTGACTCACATGTCCAAGGAACAACTTGAACTCTCATAAAGGTCAGTATCAAGATTAAAAAAATAATAATAATAAAAGGAAGGATAAGGGGATGAGGTGGGTAGGAAAAACAAACCAACTATATATCTGGTCATGGTGTCCCTAAGCAATTTAGCAAGACCCTGTCACAAAAAATAAAAAGGCTGAAGATGTGGCTCAGTGGTTAAGCACCACTGGGTTCAATCCCAGGCAAACCCCTCCCCCGCCAAAAAATAGTGTTTGGGGGACAATTAGGGAGATTTACATGTGAACTAGGTATTAGATGACATTAAGAAGCAGTTATTGGGGCTGGGGATGTGGCTCAACTGGTAGTGCACTCACCTGGCATGCGTGAGGCACTGGGTTCGATTCTCAGCACCACATAAAAAAAATAAAGATATTGTGTCCACCTAAAACTAAAAAATAAATATTTTTTAAAAAAAGAAGCAGTTATTAACTTTTTTATATGATAAAGGTATTGGCCTTGTAAGGAAATTGCTTTTTAGAGGTGGATGCTGAAGCATTGGGGATGAAATGTCATGATTTGTCTACTTTAAAAGGCTTCTGGCCAATAGAAGTGAATAAATAGATGAGGGGGCAGAGTAATATGATGAAGGGCATGTCATGGGTAGGGGCAGGCACCAGTGCCTGCTACAAAATGCAACTTAGAGAGGCCTCCAAGGTCCAATAGAGCCCTCTGTCCTCCCCATCTAGCACTACCTCCAGCTACACTGCAGCTGCACAGCACTTTTCCAGGTTCTTTCAACCCATCTGGGAGCCTTTGCAGGTTCCTTCCTGCCTGGCATACTATCTTCTTCACACTTTTTGTGCCCAAGGCTGTGACAGCCAGACTTTAGCGTTGTGAATCCGACTAGCCTAAATGTCTCTGCAAAGCAACCCTCCCCCACGGGCGTCAGAACTATCCGAAGTGGGTTCAACTTCTGGGCATCTGGTTTTTGTTGCTTCACTGCCCTTTCCGCCCAGCAGGCAGTGACGATGTTTTTGTTTGTGTTATGATGGACAGTGTGTTCAGTGACACTTAAAGCCATCACTGGGTCCCCAGGGCCTACGTTTATGGTGCACCTGTGCATCCCTGCGCACAGCTGCAGGTGGCTTTGCATTGGGACGTCACTGTTTCCTGCTGGGGGTGCTGATTCTGCTCGGGACTAGCGGACCACTTCCCCCAGCTGCACACACCGTTGCAACTCAGGACCCCAGATTTGACCCCATTTCCTGCTGGCGTCGGGCAGAGGGAAGACAGGTTTTTCCTCCATCACCCGGCCAGGTTACTGTCTCTAAGGTTGTCCCACATCCAGGAATCCCCCAGCTTTAGGGGGACCCATCTCAGTCGGTACGGTCTCCTGAGGAACTACACTTCCCAGCAAGCGCCAGCGGGGCAACCACGACTCCCAGAGTTCCTTTAGGCTCTGGCATTAACCCCTCGGTGACTGCACAGTGCCTGCGATCCGCACTGAGCGCAGGTATTCCGGGAAGCGCGGGTGATGTGGCAGTGCGCCGCGGAGCTGAGGATCCGATGGGATGGGATGGGATTTGGGAACTTGGAGAAGGAAGGAAGCCAGAGTTAGCGGAGGACTGGGTCGCAGCGGGGGCGCTACAGGGGAGGGCCATAGAGTGCCGCCTCTTCGAAAACCTGGAAATCTTAAGGTTTACCAGACCCCGGCGGTGCTGAGGTGGGGGAGGGCGAAGTAAAGGCGTTTGTCCTGGTTAAATGTCCCCCAGCTACCCGACACACACCTTCGCCTCCAATCCCAAAAAGTCCTGGCATCAGACGAAAGTGGCAAAGAGGCTGGGCAAAAGTGAAGAAGTAAGTTAAACGTCCCTTGAGACCGAGGCGCCTACCCGGCATCTCCATTTCCCCGGAGGCCAGGGCCGAGAGCTCGGGCAGCTCTTCCTGGAGTCCCCACCTCCCCTTCGGGTGTATGAGAACCTGGCTCCGGCACAGACGTACCATTCCCTCGTCCTGGTCCTGGATCCCTCTCTGATCAGGCGAGCCCGTCACAGTCCTGGCCGGCTGGTAGCTAACAGCCGTCCCAGTGTGGGTATGCAGCCCCCTGAGTCCCATCCGGCTTGGGCACGTTCCCTCGGTGGGTGCTGGGCAGATGCAGGGCCATCTAAACGGTGGGGTGATGAGTAAGCAGAGCTTACTTTCTGGGTTGCCATGGCAGGTAGAGGCGTGGAGACACAGTGAGATTCTTTCAAACTGTGGAAGGCCGCAAGAAAAAAGACAAGGTAGGGGGGAGGGAGATACTATCTCTGGGGCATTGGAGAAGACTTCCCTTAAGTGTCCCAATGGAAGAGACTGCTGGGAAAAAGGCCTGGAGATGAGAAGAGCAGTGTGCTTGGAGCAAGTGTGTGTGGGGTGTGTGTGTGTGTGTGGGGGGGCATATGATGCAGGCACCAGCAGGGGTTGGGACCTAATTCTGAAAGCAGCGGAGGAAGCTGGGCCAAGTGGCTCAGGGCTGTTATCCCAGCGGTTTGGAAGGCTGAGGCAGAAGGATCATGAGTTCAAAGCCAGCCTCAGCAATCCGAGGCACTTAGCAACTCAGTGAGACCCTGTCTCTAAATAAAATATAAAATAGGGCTTGGGATATGGCTGAGTGGTTGAGTGCAATCCCTAGTACCAAAGCGGGGTGGGGGAAGCAAACAGCAAATGGAAGGAAGACATTAATGTCCTGCTGCTTCCCCAGCAGAAGACAAGAGAGTCCTGCTGCTTCCCCCAGCCTGAGCTCCCAGTTCCCTGACTGTCCAGTACTTTGGGGATGGGGCCTTTAGCCAGGCCAGCAGTTTCCTGCCAGTCCCAGATGGCCATGTCACTCAGTCCTTTGTAAATCACAGGTGATAATTCCTACCTCATAAGGTGCCACCTTTCCCAACTTGTGGCCCTCCTTCCCCTTACAGGGCACAGCCACTCCCACAGAATGCCGGAGGGCCCTGAGCTGCATCTGGCCAGTCACTTTGTGAATGAAGCATGCAGAGGGCTGGTGTTTGGTGGGTGTGTGGAGAAGTCTTCTGTCAGCCGCAACCCTGAGGTGCCCTTTGAGAGCAGTGCCTATCATATCTCCGCCTCAGCCCGGGGCAAAGAGCTGCGCCTGACACTGAGTCCCCTGCCTGGGGCCCAGCCCCCACAGGAGCCGCTGGCCCTCATCTTCCGCTTTGGCATGTCTGGCTCCTTCCAGTTGGCACCTGCTGATGCACTGCCACCCCATGCCCATCTGCGCTTTTACACAGCTCCACCTGCTCCGCGGCTGGCTCTGTGCTTCGTGGACATCCGCCGATTTGGCCACTGGGACCCTGGGGGCAAGTGGCAGCCAGGTCGTGGGCCCTGTGTCTTGCTGGAATATGAACAGTTCAGGTAGGACAGCCCCAGGTGTAATGAACAGGCGTAGGTCCAGGCCTGGCTCTGGGTAAGTGCCTTGTTGGCCAACAGGGTGTGGGTCTCAGCCCTCAAAGAGTTCCCTCAGATGTGGTCCAAGACAGTGTCCACGTCCTGTCCCTTAGCTCCCTGAGTCAACGGATATGAAAACCTAAGACAGATGTGTGAGGTGAAGGAAGCCCAGAGGTGGATGGTTGGGCACTGCTCTGAGGACATAGAGCCAGTTACCATTGGAGCTGGAGCTCACGCTCAGAATTCCACTCTGCTCCTTGGTGCTCCTAGGAGGCTAGGAAAGGTGGAGGGTTTTGGCAACACAGTAGAGGTGAAGCTACATAGGTTTTTCAGGGGATGTGAAAGCGACCACCTAATGATAATAGTTTCTAAGTCAGGTTTTATTGCCCTACCACATTCTGCACTGTGTCCTGTGGTCTCCTCTATGACTAACCGTTGCCTATAGAAAAAGTAATAATTCATTTGGGATGTGATTCACCAGTCAAAGATAACATGGTGTCAGCCATGTCCTTCCCTCTAAAGAGGAAATTATGTATGAGTCTCTGTCTCTGTTTTGTGCGAGGCTTTATTTTAGGTTGGGGTTCAGGAGTGAACAAGAACGTGGCCCCTGCTCCCACGGCCCTAATGTTCCGATAGGATGAGGGAACCAGGAAATACAAGATGAGTTCAAATAGACACATGCCTCAGGAAAAATCCAACAGGTGAAGGAAGAAAAGAGTGACTCTGAGGGTGGGGGAGTGCATTGGGAATGACTACTCCAGGAAGGTGATATTTGAGCTAAGGCCTGACAGAACTGAGCCAGCCATGTAACGCTGTGGAGGAAAGCATTCTAACTGGCAAAAATCACCGAGGCAAAGACCTGAAGTGCACTTGGCAAGTTCTCCCTCCTAGAGGGAACTTGTGTCTGCAGTTGTCACTTAGACTTGATCACTGCTGGCACTCCTCACCTTCCTGGGCATGAAACTGGTGCCTTTCCTTCCACTTCCCCTTTCCTAGGGAGTCAGGCCACAGGTTTTCTGCCAGCTGACACTGGAGTTTCTCATGATGAGCATTGAGGCTGTTTTCTTGGTCCTCCTACTGGGGAGCCTGTGGGGATCTAAGCCCCACCCAGCAAGTCTTCCACCCTTACCTTAACCCCAGCATTGCCATGCTTTCCTTGTACCCATCACCCAGTCATTCTTCCTTGATCTTTTTCTTTTTTTTTTAAATTTATTTCTTACATTCATGACAATAGTGGAGTGCATTACATTCATAATTATCCATTCACAGCACATTTTTTGTAACTCTGTATATGAAGTATGTTCATGCCAAATTATGCATTATACATGAACTCTTTTTTTTGCATGAAATTCTTTTTTTATATTTATTTTTTAGCTGTAGTTGGACACGATATCTTTATTTTATTTGTTTATTTTATGTGGTGCTGAGGATCGAACCCAGGGCCTCGCAGGTGCTAGGTGAGCGCTCTACCGCTGAGCCACAATCCTAGCCCCACATACAATTCTTAATACACCTTTATACCACTATTTATCATATTTCTGTTTGTATATAAGGTATGTTGACACCAAATTCACATCTTCATACATGTATTTTGTATAATGATGACCGTCTCCTTCTACCATCCTAGCTATTCTCCTTCTCTCTCCCTTTCCCTCCCCTCCATTCCCTATCTAGAGGTAATTTTCCTCCCATGCTCTCTCTCCCTACCCCACTTTGAGTCACCCCCCTTATATCAGAGAAAACATTGGGCATTTCTTTTTTTGGGATTGGCTAACTTCACTTAGCATAATCTGCTCTAATGCCATCCATTTCCCTGCAAATGCCATGATCTTATTCTTTTTTAGTGCTGAGTAATATTCCATTGTGTATAAATGCCACTTTTTTTTTTTTAATCCATTCATCCATTGAAGGATATCTAGGTTGGCGCCACAGTTTAGCTATTGTGAATTGTGCTGCTATAAACATTGATGTGGCTGTGTCCCCGTAGTATGCTGTTTTTAGGTCCTTTGGGTATAGTCCAATAAGAGGAATAGCTGGGTCAAATGGTGGTTCCATTCCCAGCTTTCCTCTTCCTTGATCTTTTTCCACAAAGAAATAAGATGCATTTCTTCATCATGAATGAGGAGAACCCTGACAGTTGGAGGTGGGCTGCTAGGTGCTTAGTAGCCAGGGGTTGCTCTCAAATGCCTTCTGCACATAGCCAGGCAATCTTTAGGGTCCTGAGATGAGTGGAACCAACCAATGTCAAATCCACATATGGTCTCTAACCAACCATGAATCCTAGACGATGTGTTGCAGACTGCAGACATACCTGAGGTTCTGTGATGACCTTGTGCTGAAAATTGTCCCGAGTCATCTAAGGAATTTTGGTGATAAACACACAACCATATATAGATGCATGTCCCTTGAACATATTGCCTTTTATGTTTTTTGTGTGTCTGTCTGTGGTGGTATTGGGGATTTAATCCAGGGGTAATCTACCATACAGCTATATCCCAGTGCTTTTTTATGTTGAGACAGGTTCTAAGTTGCTGAGGCTGCTCTTGAACTTGCAATTCTCCTGCCTCAGCCACTAAGTTGCTGGAATTACAGGTGTGTGCCACTGCGCCTAGCTTGAACACATGCTTTTAATTGGTATTTTTCACCTTTCATAATAAATTTAAATCCATATTGTTCCATTTAATAGATTGGAAAACTTAGGCTCCAGATGCCTACATAGCACTGAGGGGAGCTGGGACACCCAGTCTTCTTGTACTCAGGAACAGGTTCTCTCAGGCCCTTTCCCCTACCCCAGGGGTTTGGGGATGGGTTTTATGCATCAGGCTGTACCCCTCCAGGGAGAATGTGCTACGAAACCTATCAGACAAGGCCTTTGACCGGCCCATCTGCGAGGCCCTCCTGGACCAGAGGTTCTTCAATGGCATTGGCAACTATCTCCGGGCAGAGATCCTGTACCGGTCAGCAGGCAGGCCAAGGGCATGAGGGCTTCAGGGGTAGGTGTGCTGATACTAATGCTTAACATGGTCTCCTCCCCCACACCACTCCAGGCTGAAGATCCCTCCCTTTGAGAAGGCCCGCACTGTGCTAGAGGCCCTGCAGCACCACCGGCCGGTGAGGGTGCCAAGAGGGAGGGGTGATGCATGAGCATGCATGTCAGTACCTTATGTTGGCATAGGTGGCAAGGGCATGGGTATCTTCTGCTTAGCTCAACAATGTGTTTGTGGGGGGAGGAATGAGCTGCCTCAGAGTTTTGGCCAAGCGCAGAGAAGAAGTCTGTTGCCTTCAGAGTGGCCCTGCGGTCCTCCTTGCCCCTTCTTCAGAGTCCAGAGATGACCCTGAGCCAGAAGATCAGAGCCAAGCTGCAAAATCCAGACCTGCTGGAACTGTGCCATTCAGTGCCAAAGGAAGTTGTTCAGCTGGGTGAGAGCTGGGGAGGCCAAGATGGCCAGTGACCTCTGCTTCGGCATACTGTGTAACCCTGGGGCAGTTCTCTTTGAGACCCGGTTCCTCAACTGGAGGAGGGAGTTCATAAACCTGGTTGTGACTAAAAAGACTAAGCCTCCTCTTGGCAAGTGTCTGTTCCCCCAAGCCACCCATGTAATGGACAGGGCAAAGATTCTTAACCCTACTCCAGGGTGGGGAAGCCATGACTCAGAATCACACAATCAAGGTGGGAGGAGAGGGGCTGGGGATGTGGCTCAAGCAGTAGCGTGCTCGCCTGGCATGCGTGCGGCCCAGGTTCGATCCTCAGCACCACATAAAAACAAAGATGTTGTGTCCGCCAAAAACTAATATGTAAATAAAATATTAAAAAAAAAAAAAAAAGGTGGGAGGAGAGGGAGCTTGGCTCCCTGGCTCAGTCCATCAGCTTGTGCAGCTGAGGTCTGGGCTAAGTTGAACCAGGCTCCCCACTTCTCCTCAACCTGTGTCTGCCCTCTGACCTCCGCTGGTTCCTCTGTCCCATAGGGGGCAAAGGCTACGGGCCGGAGCACGGGGAGGAAGACTTTGCTGCCTTTCGAGCCTGGCTGAGGTGCTATGGCATGCCAGGCATGAGTTCCCTGCGGGATCGGCATGGCCGTACCATCTGGTTCCAGGTTTGGGCTCTATGGCTGGCATAAGGGAAGCCTGTGGGGTGGAAGGCAAAACAGGGCAGGAATTGGGGGTCTTTCCCAGGTGGAGATACCTAGGACCTGTGGAGGCTTCTCAGGGGTCACCGTTCCTGACACCCAGGGTCCTAGCCAGTTCAGCAGTGCAAGAGCAGGACAGCTTTGTTGATATGAACTAAATTTGGGGGAGGTTTTTACTAGGTGGGGAGCTATATTAATCTGAACAGATGTGTTTCACCTCTCCAAGGAAAACTGCTCCTACCCTAACCCAGATTGATTCAGAATTGCCCTTGTACCATTTTAGGGTGATCCTGGACCTCTGGCACCCAAAGGTAAGCAACTCCTCATGTAATAGGCTAATAGAGCTATAAAGAACTTGCTTGCAAGGGCTCTAGCACCTTTCCTCATCCCATCCCTCTCAAACCCCTGGAGTAATCCCACAGAGTGGGAGTCTAGAGAAAGGGGCTGAGGCCATAGGATCCTCCAGCTCCAGTCTCATGTCCTACAGGGGGCAAATCCCGAAAAAAGAAATCCCAGGAAACACAGCTTCGGCCCAAGGAAAAATTGGAGGTATGGTTGCCAGCTCCTCCTTCTTCCCCTGCACTCTCTCCTGTCCTGGCCATGCCTCTCAGGCCAGGCTCTGGCCATATAGGCTCTGGATGAAGTTGGGTGGGTTGGGGTCAATGGTGAATCCCAACTAACCTCAGAACTGCTCTGAGGAAAGCCCGCCATGGATTCTCAGGGACACGTGTCTCTGCCTAGGACCTTCCACCTCCAAACAAGGCCCCTTCCAGAACACCAAGGGCTAGGAGACACCTTCCCAAGAAGACTGCAATACAGCAGCCTGAGGGGACCAGCCTCCAACAGGACTTGAAAGCTCCCACAGTCCCTGAGAAAGGGAGGAGGAAGGGGAAACAGGCAACCACAGGTGGACTTTCTTCAGCATCCTCTGGGGAGGGAAGGGGGCCCCTAGAAAGTGTCTCTTCAGGATCCAATGGGATGGCAATGCAGGACTATGCAAACAGAGATGGACGCCACTGGGACCAGCCTGGCCTGCTGGTCTGAGCCAACTGTTTCATCTGTTCTCCCCGCAGAGCGCCGTGGACCCTGGAAAAATAAGGCTGACAATCCATCCAAGGGATCTGGGAGAACCTCAGCCTCTTAGCAAGAGACTTGTGTTGCTTGCATCACCCTTTCCTTGCCAATAATCTGGAGGCCCATCTGAATTCCCTAAGTATTCGAAGGGCTTTATGCCCCAAGCCTGTGGCTGTTCCCTACACAACTGATATTTTTCATTGTACGTCACCTTCCACATTTTTTTTTTTAGTTGTAGATGGACACAAATAAATAGATTATTATTTTTTTAAATGTGGTGCCCCACATACGCTTGCTAGGCAAGTGCTCTACCACTGAGCAACAAACCTGGCCCCACCTTCCACATTTTTTAAAGCCCATGTGAGAAATGCATTTTTAAACTAAATTAATAAAACTGAATTTTTTGGCACTTCTTGGGCTTGCTACAGAAGTTCTGAGATGGCCAGGTTGGAAGGACCTGCTACTTCACCCTGAGACAGGGCAAAATGAGCTCCCATCCCAGCCCTTGAGATTAGCTATCAGAAGACACGGCCAGTCACTTGGCAAAAGTGTGGAGACTCTGGCTTCAGATAGCCCAGGCTCTATAGCTCTTCTAGTCTAAAGTTCTTCAGGGTCTCTGGCTATTTCACCAGCCTGACCTGGGCTACTCACAGCTTCTCTGCCCACTGGCACAGGGGAAGAGCTTTTTATCTCAGGATCTCTTGGCATATTGTCACCCAAGGTCCCCAATCTCTCTCTCAGGGGCTGCAGCCCAGACCCTGCACACAAAGGTCCCCTTTGATATTGTCTCTGCTTCTATATACCTGGGAAGAAGCCATCCCCTTAAGCTTGAGGATGAATTCTTGGGAGTCGGGAGGAATTATCAGCAGGGTTACTGATCCAAGGATTTATTATATAAGAAGTGGCTGATCCTTGTTTCAGGTTTGGGGGGCAGAAATGAGGACTTCCCAAAACTTTCCATAAACAAAACACCATCCTCAGTTTGGTGGAGGCTGAAGCACAAGTAACAAGGACCTCACTTGGAAGGGAGAAAAGGTGAGCTTTAGTCGGGCATCTTGAAGGGGCAGGTGGCCAGCAGGGTCTCGCCTCTCAAGGAAGTCACAGCTGGAGAACAGAAAGGGCCTGTGAGGACCTGGAGCAGGTAGGACTTCCACCTCCACCTCCATCCCCACCTTGCTGCTTTGCTTACAGGACAGCTTCCTGAACTGGCAGTGATGTGTGCAGCCAGCAGTCCACATGGCTGCCATGGGCCTCGTACAGCCTCAGGACCAGTGTGTGGCTCTGGGAGCTGGTCTCAGCCTGGGGAGGGAGGCAGGTGGTAGGAGAGGTTGAGGGTGTGCCCAGTCAGGAACCCCACCCCCAGACCATGCTGCTCCTTGCCTGCTTGACAGTCTCCAATACGACTGCTGGTGATGAAAGGGAAAAGGCACTCCAGGTGGCAGCAGGAGCAGGGCCTGGTGCCGGAAGTGCCAATAAGGGGAAGTTGAGGTTGTAGGCAGCAGGTATAACACCAGCATCCTGGAAGGAGCCTGGGACATGACCAGAAAGAGAGGCATGGTGGAAAACGGGCTCCCCCCATGCCTCCAGAGGGTGCTGGGGGCCAGGCCCCAGGGTTTAACCCAATGACTGCTGCAAGCTCAGAGAAGGGCAGAGGTGTCTAGGGCCCAAGGAGAACCCCAGTATCCCCAGAACTCACCCTTGTGAGGCATCAGTGCGTAGGTGAACTCATGGCGCCCCATGTCAGCAGTGGTGTCTGGGGCCTTAGGTGCCCGCAAGCTGGGGTGGGAAAATATGGACCCAGCTAGAGCTGCTGGAGTTCCATCCTGGGAAGGCCCACACCCCATGCCAGTCTTTGGTGTGGTAGGCACCCCACTCACAGTGAAAGGCTGAGGACACTGCCTTGTACTGATGCGCCATACTTGCTGTCATTGAGCAGAGCCAGCCCAAAGCCGTGCTCTGACAGATCCATCCAGCGGTGGGCCCACACCTGAAAGGCAGATTCACTTGGTAGCCCCATTCCCTTCTTTGTGCGCTAGTCTTCAGAGCTTCTGTCACTTGGGTGACAGCAAGCTTTGGAACCCATGATTGAATTCTAGCTCCCACTCAAGGAGACCCCGGGCATACCACCCAACCTGCCTCAGCCTCTGTTTCCTCCTCTGTGAAGTGGGAATAAATGGTCATGAGTATCAAACTAAATTTAAAGCATTAGCACAATGCCCGACACATTAGGAGGCAGAAAATATTGGCCATCTTCCTCGTCCTCTCCCATACCACACAACTAGTCTCCTCAGAGGATCAAAGCCCCTCCTTTTCCCTCTTTCCCCATTTCGGACCTCAAATCGAGCCCAGTCCCAAGAAGTGTTGTAGTGGGTGGGCCGCTGCAGGTGCCCAAACTGGATCTCATAGGTAGCCTGGGGGCTCCGCACTCGGGCAGGGAACTCCACCTTTAGAAACTTGTGGGCCTCATTCCAATGTACCTAGGAGTAGGGGAGAGAAGGGAACAGGGAAGGGAGGGACACACATTGGTTGGGGTTGGCCCCCCCTTACCAGTTACACTTGGGAAAGATAGGCACACCCTGCCCCTGCTACCTCGGTGTGGAACCGGACATAGGGGCAGCCAACATCCAGGACAACCTCCTGGCTAAGCCGACTATTGGGGCTGATCTGTAGCAGGAACCAGGCACTGCCCCGAAGGCCACCCTCACTGCCAACTGCCAGGGTCCCTGGTTGGCCTAGGACAGGTTTCCTGTGGGATGGGAGGCACTAAGCTAGGGCAGCCAGTATCTCCCCAGCTCCCCACATTGTCTCTAGTCCTGCCCGGCTTATACCGTGTCTCTAGGTGGTAGTCCATGACATCCCATGCATCCCAGTACAAGGGGACATCATCAAACAGCACAAACTGGTTCCCAAGAGCACCCTCAGCAATGGCTTCCCTGGAAGGACATGGGGATTGGTGTTTTACAACTCTATGACCTTGCTTTCTCCAGTTGCACTTGGTGGGGTAGGAGCAGGTAAGGAGACCCAGGGGTCAGGGACTCCTAGCCTGGCTGATGCTATTCTTTGTGTGGGTCCCAACCCAGAGACACTGGTGGACTGCTATGGGCAGTGTTGTGGCCAAGGGACAAAAAGAACAGGGTCTGGGATCCTCTTGCCAGGCACAAGGAAAGGACAGTGAGGAGTTGGCACCTGCCAGAGGCCACCAGGACCAGAGATGTCAGGCGGCCAGTTGGATCCAGGCTCACTCGGATGATGCCATTGTCCAGAGTCACGGAACCATCAGTCTTGAGTGGGAGGGGGCCTTGAGGCTGTGTCTATAAAGGCTTCCTACAACCAACAGCTGCCCCAGCTCCACCCCAGCCCTGCTGGGGCTGTGTACTGCTCCACCCCCTTGTTCCAGGATAGGGAACTCAGAACACCCAAATCATTAGGCAGTATCCCAGGCCAGCTCCTACCCCACCAAGAACCACCAGGACTCACCTCTTGTACCACAAACACAGGCTGCTGGGGCAGCAAGGGCTGCGGTAAGGTGGGGGTGGGAGCAGAAGCATAGCCCATGCTGGGCACTGTCACCAGGGCTGGGAATGAGGCCTGGGTATCAGTGCAGCCTCCCTAACCTTCCACAAACCTTGCTCAGGCAGGGGTGGGGGTAATGAAGGATGTGGCTACTACTCCCCAGCCTGACACACTCCAAGGCAGAGATCCCCAGGGGAGGGTCCCTGCCTTGATCTGTCTGGCCTTGGTCTCTTCTGACACAGTAGCAGTCCACCTCTCAGCTCATACCTAGACAGTGGGCCCCTCCAGGCTTGGGCAAGGACAACACTTCGGTGCGCTTCCAGGGCAGTGTGTTGACAATGACGAGGCCCTCGGGACCTGGCTCCCCAGCACACAGGGCTGCAGCTGCAGCACTGAGCAGCGTATTGCCATGGGAACGGATATCTGAGGAGAGACTGGCTGGTCATAGGGGGAGGGGCAGTGCATCTGAGATGACCTGAGTGTCCTCAAAGGACACTGTGCTCAGACCTGGGTTGGAGAGAGTAGGACTGTTGTCAGCCTCACCTTCATAGTGGCTCATGGCATCCTCTGCCACCAACTGGATGCAGCTTCCAGTGACCACATCATGGAACTGGTTCAGAAGTAAGAGCCTGCAGGGGCCCAGGGTAGGGAGGGGAAAGGCTGGAGAAGGGGAAGTTAGGAGGGGCAGCCTTAGAGATGTCTGTGGTGAGAGGTCAGGTAGGCACTGGTGGGTAGATGCTAGGCTGACCTCCAGAGGTGCTGTAGCTGTGCTGCTGGGTATAGGAACTGGGCACTGCGGGCCAGGGCTAGGCTGCTGAGCAACTCCACATCATGTAGGATCCGTTCACATTCTCGGTTCCCCTTCTTGATCTGTGCCCAGGTGGAGGGATCAGTCTGGAGTCTGCTCAAGCATCCCAGGACACCTTCCAAAGCCCTTCCTTGCTCAGAACTCCTGATGGCTCCCCAGGGACTGCCAGATAAGGCCTCATGTGGGCAACCTGCCCTAAGTGCTCTCCTCTGCTCCCCTCCACCCAAACCTTCCTCTTCTACAGAGATTGTCCTGCCTCCTGCAAGCTTTCCTGAAGACCAAGTTCTTATACTTCTCACCTCCAAGCCTCTTGTTGGAACAGGGGCTCTGTCCCTTCCCTCCCTTGCCCTCTGCAGATCTATGGCAGACCAGCAGCCTGACCCTGACCTGGGCATGCGTGGTGTAAGTGCCGTTGTGCAGCTCCAGGAAGAGCTCCCCGACCCATGTGCACAGCTGTTCTGAGTCACTCTCCAGTGCCTTGAAGAGCTGCCCTGGAGAAGACAGCTGCACCCTGAGGGAGACCACAAGCTTGGGCCTCCCTGCCAGGGGCCACAAAGCTCAGCCTTCCTCTACTCCAAGAGATAGAGTCAAGCCCCGACAGGGAAGCCATTCTAGAAAGCCTCCCTGCCCATACAGTACTGGACTGGATACCTGGGAGAGTTGCATACTGTGGTGGGTTTGAATTCCTTCCCACCCTCAGCATTTCTCCTCCCTATTTCCAAGTAGGAGTTGGGGAAGGGGACAGGATTAGAGCAGGATAAGGTCTGTCCAGTGGCGGGGGGGCATGTATGAGCAGAAGAAAGGCAACAGGTAAGGGCTAAGAGTAGGGCTTCGTGACAGCCAAGGGCTACTAACGGCCCAGGCCTGACCTGGGCAGTCCGTCAGTATTGCCCAGCCTCTTCAAGCGGTCCAGCATGGTCTGAGTGGGGCCACCACCCCCATCCCCAAAGCCGAAGAGGAAGGCACTGTGGTTGGTCCGCCCTTTGTCCCGATTGTTGGTCACAGTCTTCAGCACCTGGAGAGGTGGGAGAAGGTCAATGTGGGTCAGCCTAGGATGGGATAGCCAGAATTCTCCAATGCATCCCCCACCCAGTCAATAGGTATCTGCTCACCTCCTCCACACTGCCCTGCATTCCATATGAGTCACCAGGTGGGAAGTGAACCAGCACACGGGAGCCATCCAGTCCCTCCCAGAAAAAGCTATGGTGCTGCCAGCAGGGAGACAGAAACACAGGAGAGTCCAGAGTCAGGGCTGAGGCAGAGTGGGCCTTCCACACCAGCTCCTCTGCCTGCTGTACCATCCTGGTAGAGGTCGTGGTGAAGAGAAAGGACCAGTTAGGATCCAGGCCCATTGTGACCCTGGCCCCCTGAGGCTTGCTCACCGGGAAGGAGTTCACTAAGTTCCAGCTCAGTTTCTGTGTCAGGAAGCGTGTGATGCCACAGCCGCGCATGATCTGGGGGAGCTGCGCCGAGTACCCGAATGTGTCTGGCAGCCAGAACTATAGGGAGAGAGCTTCTGGAGCTCCAGGTGGAGCTGTCCCCACCTTCAGCTCCTCAGCACTCTAGGCCAACCCTCACCCTACCCAAGCACAGCCTGGAGAAGTAGCTCCCCGTTTACCTCAGAGCACATCTTCCCAAACTCCTGCAGGAAGAAGTTCTGGCCCTGTAGGAACTGCCTCACCATGGCTTCTCCACTGGGAAGGTTCCCATCCTGGCAGTGAGGGGAGAGACAGGCAGCTGAGATTAGTACTAGATAGGAAACAGGCAGGAGTTCAGGCCAACCCACCCACTGTAGAGAAGCCAGGGTTGCTCCAACACAATTCTACAGCCAGGCCCCAGGAAGCGTTGATCTCTTTGCTTCAGGCCCAACTGTCCAACTTCAGGGTGCTGCTGGGAACGGGCCATGCAGATAGCCTGCCCCCTGCTGAAGACCCAACTCCTCTGCAAGTCTCAGATCTTGGGATTCTAGGGACTAATAAGCCCTGCAATAATAAGCCCTTCATGACTTGCAGAAGTCACCAGCACAGCCAAGGGATCCTGGGCCATCTGAGGGAAGGCCATGGCCAAATGTAAGAAAGCTGAGGGACTGTTGAATGTACTTACCATTTCCACCCAGGTGCCCCCCACAGGCACAAACTGCCCTCGGCAGGCAAATTCCTGGAGCTGGGCATATAGGCCAGGATAGCGGTTCTTTACCCACTCTAGCTGCTGAGCCTGTAGGGCAAATGGGGTGGAAGCTGGGCCAGGAATCAAAATGACTCTACCTAGAGTCAAGAATCTAGAGCTCTATGGTGGGTGAGAGTGAGGAGCAACTCTCAGGCTTGAAAACACTCAAGAGCCAAGAGAGCTAAAGGGTTCATGCAGTTGCCCTCTGACCTGGGAGCAGGCAAAGATGAATTCAGCATTCTGTTCCATAAGCCGCAAAGCTGTCACCCAGCTCCGGGCACACTTCCGTACAGTTTCCTTGAAGGGCCAAAGCCAGGCTACAGAGGAGAGGAGTAAGGGCAGAGGAGTGGCAAAGTCCCTGGCTCCTCATAGATTTCTGGTCCCTCACCTGCCCCAGCACTTCAACTAGGCCCAACCTGGGCCTACAAATGGCTATCCTAGCTTTCCTCCCCTCCAGGCCCTTTACCCTGCAAAGCCCTGTGGTGCTTCCGGGGGATATGAGATAAATTTTTGCAGATTAGGAAACAGAGGCCCCAGGCTGTAGAATAGCCTCAGACTGAGGCTCAGATACCCCAGAAGGACCCACTAAGAGGGAATAGGGATTAGCCTGGCCCTGTACATCTGATAGATACACTGAAACAAGGGCACAGCACCCACGATTAACCTGTCTGGGAAGACACTACAGCCCCTCCAGACCTCTAGGCCTTAGCTCCTACTCTTTCAGCCCAGAATCCCTTCATGCTATCTATCTTACACCGTTGCACCGTAGAAAGAGACCTTGTTCTGTGATTCAGATACCATGGGGAACAAATACCATCAGCTCAACTCCTGATCCTCCTTGGAAACCTCACCCTATACTTGGGCCACCTCAATTAATTTCATATTACTCCTCTCTTGAGGACGTGGGCACCCTAGTCAAATTTCCTTGTTCTTGTCAGGAGCGGTGGTGCATACCTGTAATCCCAGTGGTTTAGGAGGCTGAGGCAGGAGACTCTCAAGTTCAAAGCCAGCCTCAGCAACTTAGTGAGGCCCCAAGCAACTCAGCAAGACCCTGTCTCTAGATAAAATACTAAAAAAGGACTGGGGATGTAGCTTAAGTTTAAGCACCCGTGGGTTCAATCCCCAGAACCAAAACAAACAAAAACGTCCTCATTCTCACTCAAGTGAAATGTCACCTTGTCCAGGGAGTCTCTCTGAATCCCCCAACTCACTTGGGCTTAAGTATCTCTTCTGACTCTCCAGTCTCCCACAGGTCTTCCCTTCACTGTGCTTGCTGGCCTACTCTGTGATCATCAGCCTTTGAAATGCCACCCTTGGTGTCTGGCAAGTGGCCTCATGATGCACCAGATTTTGTTGAGAGAATAAATAAACCTCAGCTAGCATAGCACAGTTCAGTGCCTCTGCCCCCTTTTACAGATAGGGAAATCTAAACTCCAAGGGCAAGAAATTGCTGAGAATCACATTGTACTTCCAGGGCATAGCCAGAGCTTGAAAGGTACTCCTTCCTTCCCAGCCAACCCAGCCAGTTAACACCCTACCTGTATCAATGTGGCAGTGCCCCATGGCATGGATGGTATGTTGGCTTTCACCTCCACACTGGCCAAAGAACCTGGAGGCCAGGGCCTGGGCCACTGGGTAGGTCTCAGGCTGGGCAGGGTCACACACGTTCACCATCTGGTTGGCTGTGTACAGGGCTTGGAAGCTGCGCTGGTTGTCCTCCCCAAGGCCCTGAAACAGGTATCTGCCCTTAATCCCCCTCTGGAGCACAACTCTAGAACTAGGCCCCAGATGACCTCCCAAGTATCCCAGTAAGACCCCACCACCACCTCAAATCTCTGCTCCTCTTAGGGGTCCCATTCAGCACCATCTCTTTACATAAGGAAACCCTCTTCCTACTCTGGATTCCCAGAGTCCCAACAATCTGAACCCAAAATCAAAAACCAAAAAAACCCAACTTATCTGGAGCATGGATCTAGAGGACAATAGGGGAAATAGGGGTGTCAGTACCTTAGCAATGCCCAGTAGCAGCTCCAGATCCACTAGGAGCTTGTGGACATCCTGGTGGAATACAGCCAGCTCAGCTCGGCTCAGTCGGAATGTCTTCTCAAGGTCAGGGGCTGCAATCATGCTTCCCTTCCCAGCCCCCAGGAGGCCGTTGCAGGCTACTTCCACATAGAGGGTCAGGCTATAAACATAGGGCAGCAGCCTCAGGCCAAGAGATTGACAGAGGACGCTAGGAGCATAGGGAGGGACACATGGGAGGTATTCAATTGACCCCTCCCCATTCACCTCCAGGACCCACCACCCAGAAGATTCCATGTTGTATCAGGTGTGTGTGCAGGAGGATCATGGTAGAAACACCAGGTGAAATCCATTTCCTAAGTGTTCTGCCTTGGCCAGGGAGAATAATGGCCAAGCTTAGAATCAAGTGAATTACACTGCTTTCTAGCTTCATATTTTCAAAGCTGCCTGCACAAGGAATGTCTGTCTCAGAATCCTCTTTGTATAATAAAGTCATGCTTGGATCTCTCAGGGCTGAGTGTTCATACCAAGCCAACATGGGGTGGCCATTCCTGGGTATGCCATCTCAGCTGTGAAACTGTTCTACTTAACCTTTAGAGAGCAAACTTGGCTTTCTGACTCTCCTCCTACCCCTACCTGGTCTAGCAGATTACCTATTGAGTTTCCAGTATTTTCTTTCAGAACCCTCATTGGTTTTGTAATTATGAGTATTTCTATTTCCTTTTGCTGTTGAGGACATTATTTTTGTAGTATTGGGGATTGAACCCAAGGACATTTTACTACTGAGTCACATCCCCATACATGTATGTATGTATGTATGTATGTATGTATGTTTTGAGACAGTGTCCCATTACATTGTCCAGACTGGCCTTGAACTTACAATCCTCCTGCCTCAGCCTCCTGAGTAACTAGGATTATAGGCATGCACTACAATGCCTGGTGAGAACTAGGTTATTCATCACCATATTCCCAGTGTTTGGAACTATTTGAAACAGTTTCAATAAACATAAAATACAATAATGTATAAGAAGCCTTTCAGATGGTATCATAAAATCCTACATTATGATATGAAATGTTAAAAGTCAGGATGCAAAGTATCAAAGCAGGGCTGGGGGTATGGCTCAGTGGTAGAGGCTTGCCTAGTATGCATAAGGCCCTGGGTTCAATCCCCAGCACTGCAATAAAAAAACAAACAAGTAAAAATTTAGAAGCAATATAATCTTAACTGTAACTTTTCTTCTTTTTTTTTTTTAATTGAAATACTGAGAATATGAAAGCTGAGATGTTAATACTGGTCATCTCTAGGTGATAAGACAATGGAAATTAATTTCTTCGTGCTTTTCTGTATTTAGCACAAGAAAAAATCATGTTTTCTGAAAACAAACTATGTAAGATGGATGTATTAGAGGTAGGGGTGCTTTTGAGGTTACTTGGGCCCCAGCTCCTCCTAGATCAACAGGGCACAGGGACTCACTCACCTTCGGGGGTCTCCTTCTCCCAGCTTGTCAGTCAGGACATAACTGGTTTTCTCACCCTCTTTGGTCAACCCCTGGTAGGGAGGGGAGAAGAGAGGGCCTGAGGACTTTGGACAGTTCAAGTGAAATATAAGTTGAGGGAGGCCAAGTTCCTTCAAGTGGTCCTTAGCTCCTCTCTTCAAATTAAGGCCAAGATTGACAAATTAGGGACCCCTGGTAGTAGGTGCCTCACTCTCTAGGGCAGCCAGCACCATGACCCCCAAAGAGCACCTTTTATTAGCAATAAAGCCCATGGTCTTGAGTCCTGGGCAGGGGTTAGGAGGCCTGTGCACACCTTGAATAAATATCAGAAGGTAAACTCCATGAAGTTAGGGACAGGTTTGCTTTGTTCTCTGTATCCCTAGTACTTAGCAGACAGTGCACCAGGAGACATCTGTCAAGCCAGTGAAGGAGGGAAGGGCTCTGTCTTCTTTTAGGTCAGGAAGAACAACAGTCCTAAACCCAGATCCAGAGTCCAAGCCAATTTGGAATGGAAGTTGTGTGAACCAGTGAGCAAACCTCTATGTATCTTCTTCTTAATGGACATAAAGACCTGTCACATAGGATTACGAAGACTAAACCTGATATAAAACTTTACAGAGTTATATCTAGGGAATGAGATGGGGGAGTAGAAGAAACCTATTACTTCAGGGGAAAATTACATAACTGTCTTATTTTATACTATCTAGAACAGTTGAAAATTCCTCCATATGCATGTATTACATATGATAAACACTAGTTTGCTATAAACTACGGACCCACCATAGTGGTATCCAAGCAGTTACTTCCCCAGTCTTGAAATCCTGAGACCAGTCGCAGGCAAAACCGTAACTGTTGTTCCTTCAAGACAGAGCTGAAATGTGGTCACACCTGGCTCTAGGGCAGAGACCCTCACCTGGACAGGTTCCCCATCACGCCAGACCAGGCCTTCTCCATCACTTTCCCAGCAAAGGTGAACTTCCTGGCCCACCCATGCCTCTGGGATGTTCAGCTCCACCCTGAACCAGCAGGTCCACCATCTGCAAGAGAGTCATTTTGATGAGCCTAGGACTGAAGTCCTGTCTGTCCTCATACTTCCTTGGATTATGTGTCAGCAGGGGTTTGATACTTCCTCCAAGTATCTGAAGCATCACAAGGTACTCAGCTCTGGGCCCCAAGAAAGTAGGAACCAGTGAACAGCAAAGTGAGGAAAAGAGGCAGAGGAATCAGGGGTCCTGATCAGGAAAATAAGGGATGTCCAGAGAGCATGAAAACTTCCATAAAGACTCTGAGGGACCAGGGAGCTGTTTCCAGCAGAGAGCGCTGCTCTGTCCCCAGCAGCTGTCTAGGGCAGAGGATAGACAATGAAGGGCTCTGCCTCAAGGTGGTGAGCAAGCCTGGAAAGGCTTCCGTAGGCTGGGCATTACGCACGTGGGTCCGAAGGTGTCGCCGACATGTGCGGGGCTGAAGTCCTGTTGGACTGCCTCCTGGTAGGCAAGCCTCTCCGGCGTCAGGAAACTGGAGAGTGAGGCTACAGGGCAGCTATCCCCGAAGAGCCTAAGCGGGAGGGGACGGTGGGCGCGCGCTTGAGGCCACCCCCTTTCTGCCCGTGAGCCAGCCGGCAGGTGAGGGGAACAAGCTTTCCCCCAGCTCACCGCCATGAGAACTGCCCCGCAGCACATCCCATCCTCTACCCATCTCCTGTTGAGTCCCGCCCTGTCCAATGCAAGCACTCAGTCCCGCGACCCAGCTGGCTACAGCCTGTTTTCTCCTGGAAGGTAAGGCTGAAGCACGAGGGTGCAATCGGCCAACTCCTCGCAAGGGGCCACACCTGCCACGGAGGTTACAGTCAGTAAAGTAGACAGGTGACACGAATTTTTCCACCCGCTCCAGCGTGGTGCGCCAGTGCTTCAGGGCTGGCGCCGCCATGATGCGCCCTCCTCCTCTCCCCGGAAGGTTCTGGGTGTTGCCTGCACGGCCCACAGCCTGGAACTAAAGGTTCCGGTATCTGACAGGCGCCTTCCGGCCCGGGCAGCTTTTCTTGGAACACCGGCGGCTTTGAGGGGCCCAGCCACTGTCTGAACTTCCGGGTTAGAAGCTAAGCTTTTGAAGCTCTCTAGTCTACTCTGAGATAGCAGGTCTCAGAGTAAATCCCTAAATAAAATGGTAAGCTTGGCAAAAGCTCTATAAGGATCTTGAGACAGACTTACAACTTATTCATTTAGCACGACAGGCGGGAGCCTTGGCTGCTACAAACCCACGGCTGTGAAGCAGCAATCTTTTAATTCCTTTGCTTTCTATTTCCAACACCAATTCTGGTTTAGGTATCCTGGCTAACAGGTAAAGTGTTCTGTTTAACCTGGAAAGTCGCCCAGATGGGTTTTTAGTGATCAGTTGTCAGAATGTTAAATAATAGGAAGAGATCTGCACCACAATAAGCCTCTCTTCCATGCTTTATATTATCTACATGAATCTCAACCACTAACTCTTGTTCACCACTAGAAATGAAAATTTTTTATTTGAGATTGCAGATCAGAGTCAGAGTATTGGTGATCCCAATAATGTATTTCACCATACAGGACTGCAGAGTCCATGGAAGCCATAATGCCAGAAATAATTTCATTCTCATCATCCCTACTGTATTAGAGCAACTAGTATGCTTCCTTCTTCCCCCTTCTGGGTTTGCTAGAATCTTGTCTACAAAAGTATTCAGAAGGTAAAATATATACACATTAGCCCTGATATTTTAGTGGAAATACTGACCAAGTTGACAACAGTTCAAAAGAAAGTCACGTATAAATGTGACCAAATTCAGAATGTCAAATGTGATTAGGTGCTTAGGACAATACTGTGTAGAGGCAGCAACACCTGTGGCTGACGGGGTCAGGCTAAGTTTCCCCCATAGCCCCAAGTCATCATGATCTTTCTTGAGGGGGAGCACAAGGCAATGGGTGAATTATTGCTGAGAAAACCTCAAGTTTTTTGTCCCACTTAGTACTTATCACTTTTCCCCCAAGTCAGGATCTGTTCCAGCTTTGACCTAGAACCTCCTACTCCCACAGGGCTCTTTTTGCCATTCATCTGTTGTCACCCTGTAACACAAAGCCTAAAAACAAAGATATACCTTGTGTTTTGAAAATCACAAACTTTTTCTTTGTGTTGGTGTTGGGGATTTTTAATTAAAAAGTGAACAAAAAAATACACAAAACACTCTTGATTACAACTGTGACTAGTATGATTAGGGTGATGGTTGCTGGAAAAAAAAAAAACCCACCAGATGACTGAGGGCTAGTTAGTCTTTGTTCAGAAAATCCAGGTTATTCACATATAAAATTCCTTATCATTCATGTTTAAATGTATGCCAATTAAATTTTATGTGATTAAAAAAATCTGTCTATCTCCCACTTGGAGTTGCTAAGGAAATTTATCAAATTCTCTCCCTCCCAAGCCCACTTGTACCTCATACCTTATACATACTTCTTTCAAATACTGGTTTGGTATTTTAAGTTGTTCACTCTCATTCCCAATAAGGAGAAGATTAAAAAAAAAAAAATAGTTGTAAATACAAGCTACATAGCTTAACAAACACCCAATATAAAAAGTATTTCAAGAGAGAAATACATGTACTAAAAGATTGAAGTATTCTATTTTTAAATTTTGGGGTATTTTGATTTGGGAGGAGTGCAAGTGACTATTGACTACTTAAAGCAAAATTCTGTTTGTACCCTGAAAAAGGAACTGAAGCCAGAATCACTGCTTCACAGCAGTTCTCTGGTGAGGATAAGGGACTTGGGTTGAAAATTTATTCCTTAAGTAAGAACCAAGCTTTATTTATGTACAAAAAAAAAAAAAGAAAAGAAAAGAAAAAGAAAAAGAGGAAAAAAAAGAAAAGAAAAAGTTGGAGGTGAAGGAGAAGACAAAGTTTTACACAAAAGTACTACAATGGTAACTCCCTTTGGTAAAAAGTGTAATAAATGTCTTATACATCTGTTCATAGGTTCTAAATCTGAAGCCACATAGTACTATGGTACACAAGAAGCTAGAGCAATTATGCTAGCACATCAAAGCATATTTCTTTTAATAAAAAATTGACAGTATGTACATTATTTACAAAAAAAGAAAAAAAAAACAAGTTAAAATTGTGTGTGTGTGCATGTGTGTCAGAGTAAAGCTGGTGGATGGCACTAGGGTAGACTAGTAAAGGAGCAGGTACAAAACAGTTCCACGGGAGCTAAAAAGGACAACTGATTTGAACTTGTTGAAGTTGAGAACCAGAGGAGAGAGAAAGGGTGGGCAGCAAGGGATTTGTCAGGAATCAAATCCACAAGATGATTAATCCCTAAGCCAAACTGTGAGTCCCAGATAAAAACCTAATGGGTGATTTTAGATGTGCTCAAGTGACCAGGAGGAAAGAAGAAGAAAAAAAAAAAAAGCCAGATCCAGCCTTTTTTTCCTTTTTGGAGGGAATGAAGAGGAGTGCTGACCATCAATAGTTACAATCCATTTGACTGTTAAGTCCTTCCCCAATCTGTTTTGTAAATGCACTTTCATCCAGTCAAAATGTGAACAGCATCCGGTTTTCTCATCGAAGGTCAGGAGACTATTCGTAGCTCTGCTGGTGTGTGCAAGCAAGCCACATTATCTCTGTGCTTGCATGGACTTCCTTCCCCTCCAGGGCAGGCTAATACTCAGAAATCCCCTGGGAAAAATGCCAGCTCAAGCTTTGTATGGTATTCACATTCCTTATGTGCATCCTACTTGGTGCCAGCTTGCATCAGTGGCCATGTCTCAGGGAGACCAGTGAGGCTTGAAAGGCATTGTCCTTTCTTCTTCAGTGTGTGTGAGCATGAGCGAGCATGAGCGCGCACACGCGCGCGTACACACATACACACACACACACCCCTCAAGTTATCTTCTCTGGTTTTGCAGTTAAGGGGCTTTGAATACTGTGCCGTATTTGACACGATACTTGTTAATGCTCACAAAGTGCAGGGTCTCTGTGTCACAGGTGGTGGTACAGGGCACCAGGCCCTCCAGCCCCTCACCCATGAGCCACTTGCTGGTCTCCGCTGCCATTTCACGGGGCACATGTTCCTTGGTCCATTTATCTACCCAGGCCTGGAACCTCTGATGTAGACGCTTGCTTACACGCTCATGGGACTATAAAACAGAAAAAAGGAAAAGAAAAAAAAAAGAAGCAGCATAACCAAAAATCCCTTAAATACAAAGTTCAATTTTGTCTTAAAGTAGCAGAAGGAAGATGTGGGCTCTTAGATATTACTGGCTAAAAATTAAGTAGGGAAAAAAAAAAAAAAGAAGGCAATAGATATTTTCTGTTAAAAGAGAAAAGAACGTAAGAGCACTATAAGGAGATGGAAACCCATAAAACTTCTGAAGAATTACCAATACAGCACCTGGGCAGAGTAAGCATAATACGTCTCAATTTTAGTATACATCAGTATCACCTGGGGAATTTGTTAACAATACAAAATTTACTTAGTCCCACAAATCTGCCCCCCCCCTTTTTTTGTTTGTAGTGTTGGGTGATCAAACCCAAGATCTCACACATATATTCTTCAGACACAAATTTGCATTTGAATTCAGACATGCTGTTTCTAATGTACCTCAGATAAGAAATAATGAGCTCTTGCTGTTAAGTCTTTTCTATCAGCATGGAGATCTATTTCTATGACATACAGTGCAAAGTGAAGGTCTTAAATCTCACTCTCCATTTACCATTATTACCCTACTCTGGCCAGCAGAGTCTAGGCACAGATCTTCACTGGTATCCATATGAAAAGCATAGCTCAGCTCCCTGAAAAATCTGAATTAGAGACAAGCAGCTATACTCGGTGCCATGAGAAAATACATTAAATTGCTTGCCCTACATCTCTACCTTGAATGTTCTGTAGTCCCTTCCAACTTAACAGTTCCACAGTCTGCTTTACCTCCAAACTGAACAATCCCTTCCTGTAAACAGGTGTATATTGCTGAACTTTCAATTTAAGAATAACAACAAAAAATTCCCCAAATTAACCAGGCATCCTTGATGCCTCTTCATTTACCTCCACATTTGACTCACCACCACATCTTGTCAATTCTATCTCCAAATTTTATCTACAATCTAATTTGTACAATTCCACTGCTACCCTAGTAGCCTACTTCTTATTTGTGCCTTGAAGTAGTGGACATTTTCTTTGAATAGAAAAAACTTCTCCCTCAACTCTTCACCACACTGGTTGTTCCTTACATTGTTCAGGCCTTGAACCTCACCTCCTTACAGAAATCTCCAACAAAGCAAGGACTGCATGTCAGTCCCTTGAGCCCTTCATCTGGTTTGTGTCCCTAGTAGCACATGTCATAATACCACATTTGCTCTACTTCATGGTTATGTCCCAGGGCCTGGCACAATACTCAGTACATAATTCATCAGGAAGGTAGCACAATGGCAACAGAATGTGAAAACAGAGAGGATCCAAGCAAACAAAAGATCAAAAACCATTTGAAAGGTAAATACTGGGAAGAGCTTCACTAGAATGTGGAATCAGGTATTTGCTTTTATGGGTTAAACCATACATCCCAAAATTCCTATGTTTAAGTCCTATGTTTAATATTGCACCCAGGAAAAAAACACAAAGATCCAGAAACACCAACAATTGCCAGCTGAACACAAGAAGCTATTTTCCCTTCCAGTCTTCAGAAAGAACCAATCCTGCTGATATACTAATATTGAACTTCTAACCTCCAGAACTTCAAGATAAGGATGTACCAAAGATTAAACTCAGGGGCACTCAACGACTGAGCCACATCCCCAGCACTATTTTATGTTATTTAGAGACAGGGTCTCACTGAGTTGCTTAGTTGCCTCGCTTTTGCTGAGGCTGGCTTTTATCTTGTGATCCTCTTGTCTCAAGCCTCTAGAGCTGCTGGGATTATGGGTGTGTGCCACTGCGCCCAGGTTAAATTTCTGTTCTTTAATTCACACAGTTTGGGGTACTCCACT